CGGCAGGCCTTTCTTTATTGTGAGCCTTAGCTTCCCTCACTTCATCTTCACACACACTCTAGTGGCTGACCATTGAACTCCGTCTGTGCTTACATTCAGAATATCTCTGCTCTAATCCTAGCCATAGAATCATAGCACCCTTATGGCCGGGGGAGAAAGGGTCAGACAGGCCGGTCCCCAGGCCAGAACTCACCACAAACTCAGAATGGGATGTCTGACTATGAGAAGTCACAGAAGCACCTCAGATAGCCCACAATCTTAGACAGCATTCGCTGAGGGCAGAACATATAGCAGGGGTAGAGAACATCAGAGCCGACTGGCTCAGCCGGACCGAGGTGGACAATTTGGAGCGGAAGCTGCAGCCAGCAATCTTCAAGGAGCTGGCGGAGTGCTTCGGACGGCCAGAGGTTGACTTATTCGCCACACCCCTCAACGCTCAGCTCCCGAGGTTCTTCTCCGGGTACCAGACACAGGGGACAGTAGGGGTGGATGCTGTGCGAAGCCCCTGGCCCAGGGGTCGTCGGTATACCTTTCCGCCCTTACCCCTGATCCCCAGGGTCATATGGAAAATCCTTTGGGAGGGGGCGGAAGGGGTTTTGTTGGCCTCACTGGCCCCGGAGGCCGTGGTTTGCAATCTCCAGATGCTTTCAGGGGAGAGGCCCTGGAGAATCCCCCAGGAGGGTATATCCCTTAACCAGGGATCGCTGGAGCACCCAGACCTTCAATGGCTCCAGCTGACCACTTAGCTCTTGAGCGGAGCATCCTGGGGAAAGAATCTTGTGATATGTAGCCATAATAACATTCTTCTTAGAAAGCCAAGGTCATCCTTGTCTCTGCACCTGGCCAGAACTGGATGGGTGGAACTGCCAGCAAGGCAGTGGAAGATTGGACTATGTGATGAACTTGTGGGTGTGGGGACAGGATCTTGAACTTTCAACTGGGTGGGAAAACCTGGAAGATTTCAGATCCGAGTTTTCCCAGATGTGCCAACATGGCATCTCTAATAAAGTGGAACTTTGAGGAAACTCAAGCCTCAGAGTTTTATTTCGTTGGGGGTATTGACACAACGTATGGTTCCTCTTCTGTTCAAAATGTAACATTAATTTATATCCTTAAGGAAGTATATGGGATGTTGAAAAATAATGTTTGCAGTAACAAAGCTGGAGAACATATCACATGGTTTTACTACACGTGTCTTTTTTAAGTCAGAAGAGTGTAACTTCAATGGGTAGATTTGGCTGCTGACTTGCTCCATTTGGAATGAACCAAATCAGAAGTGATGTTGGTTGATCTTGGTGACATATAGCCACATCTGTATCATTCTCTTGGCAATAGTCCTGCAGAGGTTTGTCAGTTTCCTCCCTCCAGGATGTTTGCCAAACTCCACATTTTTCTACAGACCTGACATTCCCTGGTGGTCTACGGCCCAGACCAAGCCCTGAGAACTTCTAAACCAAAACAAATAAGTGTCCACAAACCATCAAGTTACAATGCTTAGTCCAAGGCAGATGAGTCATTAATATGGCTCAGGACATGGACATTCTGGCCCTGTGATGATGCAGAAGGGACTCTTTCCTTGTGTCATCCTGCTCAACATAATCAGTAAGTTGCGCAGCCAGATACCAGATTTCTTCATCCTTCTCACACAAATACAAAACAATTCAGTGCTATCATAAGTCCCACTCCCTATTTTCCCATTTAGCTTAGCAGCCCTCCTAATGTTGTCTTCTCCATAATTTCCCTATGAGGAAAGCAAAGATGTCCCCATGAGTTCTTGTAAATTAAGCCATAACATGTTGGGTTACAAGTAGTTCTCGACTGAAAACCCATTTATTTAGCAATTGTTTGAGTTACAAGGGCCCTGGAAAAAGTGATTTACGACTAGTTCTCATATGGCCTCCTAAACATCTCCATGGTCAAATTTGAGTGCTTGGCAACCGGCACGTATTTATGTTGGTTGCAGCATCTCAAGGTCTTGTGCTCACCATTTTGTGACCTTACCAGCTGGCCTCTGACAAGCAAAGTCAATGGGGAAAGCTGGATTAGCTCAACAGCCAAATGATTCATTTAATAACTGCAGGGATTTGCGTATAACCATGGCAACATGGTTGTAAAATTGAGGCACAAATCACTTAACAACTGTCTTAGCAACTGAACCTCTGGTCCCAATTGTGGTAGTAAGCCAAGGACTACCTGTACTTGAATGTGGATTCAGGATTAGTGAAATGGAAGAGTTTTCCTTCTTTTCCTTTTGGTAATCTCAAGATGGCAGTCTACACTAAATGGAGTGTAATGTGGTGAATTAATGTATGAATCGAGGCTATTCTGATAATCTGTTGAGAAAATACTTTGGATAGGTGTGCTAGAAAGCCTCAGCCAATCAGACTAAGTAAAATTAGGGGCATGACTCTCAAGGTTTGAGTCTGAGATTTTTCACCTTTGACCTCTTATCTTCTGCAATGGGTCCTATTTCGTGAGAAGGAATGTTAAAGACAGTTGCTCTGTTGTACTTGTCCATTTGTATTCAGCTAAAATGCATTCAAGCTGTCTTGTTTCTGAGGTTTACTTTCTTTAACTCATTTGCAGGACAATTTGTTCATGCAGGCAACATATTGGCCACTCAGCGTGTGTTTCGGTGGCATCCGGGAGCTCACGTAAGATGTTCTCTTTGTTATTTCAAATGCCATTTAATTAAGACTTCGTTCCATTTTTTATCAAAGCATCTGTTTCCTTGTCTTAGTCTAAATTATCCTGGAATTAAACATTTTTCATCATTGTCTGTCAAACCTCTTGGTTTCAGTTTTATCCTTTTTTCCAAGAATCTTCCTCTCAGCTGAGACCAGAATAAAATTCTGTTTTTGATCTCTCTTGCTATAAAAGTGTTGACATTAATAACCAGAAACTGGAGCCTGCCTCTCACCCTGATTAGAGTTTCACAGACTTCGAACCACCTATTTAGTAAAAATTCAGATCCCGTGTAGAAATACAAGAATGTGTCAGATACTCTGGAAACCCATCCTCATAGATGGGACAGCCTCCCTTTAGAATATCCTGAGGTAAAGAAAGAACAACATAAGAAAATGCATCTTGGAGCATTGGATGACTTTGATCATTGGAGGGGGAGGGGATCAAGTTGTGAAAAAGGAAAATAATTAGGCATTTCTTTACATTGATCCACAACACAACTTGCATATATTTTTGTAATCGGTACCTTCTAAAGAGAAACGCTTGCTTACTCTGCCCAGAAGTAGCTGGGTAGAATGATGTATAAAATTGGGCTTGTTGGAGATACCGTCTTTAAAACTGAAATTATTTTCAGCCATTTTTGGATGTGAAGAAATCAGCTGTCACTCAACATTTTTGAGCTTACAAGCTGACAGTCCTCTTATTCAGCTGGCATGGAATCAGATTCAGGCTGAATGGGTTCAACTGTGATGTTATTAGAAGTCCAAAACACACCATCAAGAGCAGGTGTCAACAAAAGCTGGAGAGACAAGGAGCAAATGTAATTGACTTGCAAGGAAAAACAAATTACTTGCTACAACCCGTAAAGCCAGGCACCCCTGGTTACAAGTATAGACCCTCCCAGAACAGGGATTCTGAATTTAATTTGCAGACGTGTCTTTCATTTCTGCAAGTAACTGGAATCCTGCAGTCTCACTTCGACATCTTTGCATTATGCTGTATCCTTCTGGTGATAGCAATGTTTTTCTTGCGCAAGCAGTTTAGCACACAGTTGGCAAACTATACCAGAATTTGAGAATTGTTGACAGTCCCAATGATAGGCATGGGCCTGCGCTCTGCTCCAGAGGCTGCTTCTTCCCTTCTTTAATTATGATTGTGTCTCATTGACCCAGGTGGGGATGGGATACAACAAATGGTTGTATGCTCTTGAAGATGGAATTGTGAGGTTCACCAAAGAAATCTACGTACCGCCTCCCCGTAGCAAGGAAAGCCGAGAAGTGATCTGCCGGTTGCCCAAAGGATCTGTGCTGTATAAAACTTTCATCAATGTTGTTCCTACCGAAGAAGTGGGGAGGTTTAAGTTGATCACCATGATCTGAGAGCTAGCGCTGAATGGCTTTTGGTTAGTCCTCTGCAGCTGGGAACGAAACAATATTTGCAGCATCTACAGCATATCATAGAGACATGTTCTTAACACACACCTCTGATGTGTGCTGCTGAAATAAAGATTGATAAGTGTTTCTTTCCAAAACACAACAGTAATACGACTGCTGCTCATTTCAGCGGAACCATCTCAAGCCAATTCTTTATTCTTGGGGTAAAAGCAGATGCTGGAGGTAGGTTTCCAATTTAAGAGTGTCCTTGAGTATTCTCAGCAGATTTCATACACCAGTAGTGATGTCTACCTGCAGATGTATGACATTTTTTCTTCCCAACTTCAGCACATCACAATCTGGGTACAGTATGTACACATTTTAATGTCATGAGTTGTACCAATGTATGCACACAATAAACTTTTGCAGTGCTGCCTGCTATGTACCAAACAGATGTGCAGCTGCTGTAGATGCAGTCGAGCAGGAAGTTCCTATCCCATCTCAGCTTCTTCCTTATCCAATGTGTCAAGCACTGATCACTTTACACAGCTTGTTCAGATAAAATGTAGTTTCTTTGGTGTTCGCTTGGCTTAGTGCAGGGGTGTCAAACTCAAGGCCTGGGGGCCAGTATGGCATATGGGGTGCTTAGAGCTGCCTCATGGGGCTGCCTTGGAAACCGCGAAGGAGCGGCCCACAGTACCTCTGCCAATGAAAACAGAGCTCAGGAGGGCTGCATGTGGCCCTCTCCAGCTCTGTTTTCGCTGGCAGAGGGTTGCAGGAGGCCGTTGCAATTGAAATGGAGCTCTGGAGCACATTTTTGCTGACAGAGCACTCGGGCCACCATAGATGCCGCCAGCACGAGTGATGTCAAGCTGGCCACACCCAGCCCCCCCCCCCCAGGTCAAACGCAATCCTGATCCGGCCTTCAATGAAATTGAGGTTGACACCTCTGTCGTAGTGCATGATGTGGATCCAGCCAGGTGGTTTGAAAACCATAGGTTGTAGCATCACATGTGAATCACAGTTATTCCTTAGAGCCGAGTATGGCCTCAGTCCCAGTTATATAGCATATGACTATTTGGGAAACCTTTATAGCAATACATCATTGAAACTTTATTGCAACAAAAGGAGGAAGCAAGACAACTTGATTGCTTTAGACTAATTATAAATTTGACTTTTATGGTACCTGTGTAGAACTTTTCATCTCTAGATAATTTTTCTGTTAAGACTCATTACTTTGAAATTATTTTACAGTGGTGACTGGTCTTGCCGCTATTAAAAAAAACAACACGTCCTGAATATACAACATTGAAATTCCAGTCCTTGGATACATTTCTTTGTCACTGTGACCAACTGAAGAAGGAAAAAGCAGGTGACCTAGGATGTAGGCCACAGCATAGCATAGGCAATCAAGATTATAGATGGGATGGGATGCAATTGCATGGCAAAGTGTATGTGTTTCGGCCTGCTTTCACCCATGAAATCTGAAAACTTAAATGCCTGTGCCTCCAGGTAGCCACATACAGTTCTAGTGCACAGTTGACAACCTTCCTTGACCATTAGCAACATTTCCTGGGGCCTAAGAATTTAAGAGTTTAAACATCTGAAGAGTGCAAGAGTGCCTGTTCCCTTCTAAATCACATACATTATTCAGTCAGTCTTCATCTTTCATTGACCGCCTGCTTTTTTTTAGATTGAAAAAAAATATTGTAAATTTAGGGCTTGTCTTCACTGGGAAAATTGTCAAATCACCCTGCACTGTACACCGTTAGAATATGAAATGCAATAATGCTAGATTTCATGTGCATTTACCGGCATGATTTTTTTTTCATGTTTCATTGACAAATGCATATCCCACTGATCCCAAAGAAACCAGCCACATTTTGACTTTGGGTATTTTGGGACCTCAGTCAATGAATGCCACAGATAACCCCAGATGAGGCAAGTTGCAGATTTGCTTCTCCCTTTTAAGATCTGATGTAAAAATGAGTCTGACTTGACTTCACATATCCCACCAAGCCAAAATGGGATGATTCAATAGGTCACGGTGACTGGCTTCCTATTGCAATTTGAGTCGAAACTCTTTTATAGCTTAATGCAATGTGTGAAACTAGCAAACTGGAGGCCCATTGGTGCTAGCAACAGAGCACTTCCTAATCGCCGTCATTTCCTTCTGTTTTTTTTATCTGCAGATACGTAGCCATAGTTCTAACTAAAGTTTAAGTAAATCATTCAACAGGCTATGGAACTCAAGACAGTAATTAGCTGTATAAATACAGCATGCTAAGCTACAGTGTGATTTCTTTGGTTTTGCCTAACTGGGGCATGGGCTGTCCAACAAACCATGGATAAACTGGTTTCATGCAATGCATGAACCTAGCTGTTAAGTTAAAGGAAAGCCTGCTTGCCTTTAAACATGAAAAGACAGTATAGTACAAATAAGGTGTTAAAGAGAGGGGGGATAGGAGCAAAGAAATATAAATTTACTGCAGCTATCTCTTTATGGGTTAGCCATATCGAGTGTTACATTAACTGTCCTTAAAATAAAACCTGAACACAAATATACCTCACATTCCTTCTTTTCAATCTCACAGACAGGAAAGAGTAAATAAGTAACTGCATTCTGGTAACTTACATGTTAAGACTGTAGAAGCGATCCCAGGCATTTCCCAATTAGATTAATTTTCAATGATAGCATTAGGAACATTTGGAGTGATTATTAGTCAAACACAAACAAACAAAAACCTGCCTCCCCTCCCCCACATCCAAACAGCAAATTAGATTTAAACTTATCAAGATTGTCTGAGCTCCAGCTGACAAGCAGAATAAACAATTCTGGTATATGTGAAAATAGCTAAATCTTCCCTTCCAGGGAGATTTCTACATTTTGACAGGTAAGTCTTTTTTGTCAGTTATGGCTTGGCTGCAAAACAGGCTATTTGTATTTCAATGGGAGAAACATGAGACAAAAGTGCCAGACTTGTCTTCTACTTAATCTCTTAAACTTGTCCAGATCTGCAAAATGGCTCCCACCCTGTCTTCAAAAGGAGAAAAATCCCACCAGAATTTGTCCAAAGAGTCCGTTCACTGGTGTAGCTTGAAGAAAATAGCCAGAGGGTAAAATACATTCATTGTGTCATCTGAAGCCCCACAAATGGTGTCCTGGGGATAGTCCTATGACGGCTAACAGAAAATAAAATGTTTGGGTAAATATCTTGAAAGTTTGGCAGCTCTAGCAGAGGTATTTTTTTTAAATGGAAGAGCTGCTGTATGTCCTCCCCCTCCCCCAGGGTGGTCTTTGAACCAGAAGCCTTTATCTCTTCAAAGCAACAATCAGACAAGGCTTTGATGTTTAGCTCCTGGGGATCAAACTAAAATTCCAATGGTTTATCTGCTTGACTTACTCCTGCAGCAAGATCATCTGGAGATATCTTTGAAATAGTCTCTAGGCCAGAGAGTGGCAACATTTGTCCACCTAGCTGGGAAATTCTGGGATTTGAAGTCCACACAACATAGCCAACCAAGGTTGAGCCAACACTGTTCTAGGCCGTTCTTGGTGGAAGTTGATTTGGGGGTCCGACGTATAAAAAAAGAGGACGAGAGAAGCTGATCAGAACTTCCCTAGGGCCATTTGTTCCTTTAGGATGAGGAAATTTTTTGTCTTTAAGGATTAGTTCAAGACAGCTGTAATTGTTGTAAGTGGGAGGGGGGAAGGAGAGAGAGAGAACATGGCTTGCTTTGCAACAATGCCGGAGAGTTTCATTCCACTTCCTCAGCATCAAGGTTTGGCCGGCTGCCCTGCAGAAACGAAAGCATTGCCCAGTCTGTGCCAGACTTGTCTTCTACTTAATCTCTTAAATTTGTCCAGATCTGCAAAATGGCTCCCACCTTGTCTTCAAAAGGAGAAAAATCCCACCAGCCTACACCGAAGTGTTCCTCTGAGTATGGAAAGTGGGAGAAGCTTGCAGCATATCTGGCAGGCTCTGCCTGGTTGACAACTCTGAGCTGGCTCCAGTTCTTGACAAGGCGGCAGGATACCTCAAGGCCTGTTCGTAAGGGGGCGGCAACTGTGAAGAGAAGATCAGGAACACGGGTATATTTCCTACAATTGAACTCTCCATTCAAGAATTAGTAGAGGGGGCAACATATTCACCAGCCACTACAACCAAATCTTACATGTGTTCTGACCCAGGCTTCCCAAGAGCATGAAGCAAACTCCTGGTCCCAACAAAAACCCCTTTTATTAATTTACTGTGAATTCTGCTCCTTCGCATCCAGCAAAGTCTTTCAAGGGAGGATTTACAGTCACAGACCTTATCTGGCTTGGAGAGCTGCCAGGTCGATATCTGCAGAACTTGGCAAGGAGTCTTAGAGAGTCAATAACCAAGTAAGCGAACCAATTGTCTCCTGCAAACTCCACTCCCCTCTTGCTCCTATTTTATTTCCTCTGAGAGGGGCCATTCATTGTCCACCTGTGGCAGGGGTGGGTTCTTACCAGCGTTGGTACTGGTTCACTTTGTGGGCGCTTCACACGCACGCAGTACACTGTAAATTGTTCTGCGCATGCGCAAAGAACACTAAAAAACATGCCGGTAAGGGCAATGGAGACCGGGGAACTGGTTCGGGGTCATGGCCAGCCTGGGCCGCTGCCAGTTCTGAGACCCAGACCAAATTACCACTATCGGTTCGCCTGAACTGGTGAGAACTGGTATAAATCCATCTCTGACCTGCGGCCTTACTCCCAAGTCAACCCCTGTTCTTTAGCTGTTCCCTTCATCTGGCAAATCTGCGCATGCGCCCACTGGGAACAGGCTCCAGCTGTTCCTCTGCCTCACTGATGTCTGAGTCTGAAGGCAGCTGATGACTAGCATATGGCTCTGGCCGCCTCTGCCTCCGACACAGAGCCCTCCTCAGAGCCTGCCCCAGACTCCAGGACTGGCCCATGTTCCTCCCCAACCTCCTCACTGTCCGAATCTGCTGCCAGCTCTGGCGGGCTACAACAACATGGGTGACTTCAAGGCCTTACATCCATGGCTGAATAAAAGTGGAGGCTGAGGTAGATATGAAGAAAACCTCTTACAATTACTGAGTGAATTCTACTAAAAAGACTGAAGATACAGGTTCATTGGCTTGGGCCTGCACATATTGTGCTAAGCCAAAAATATTAATGGGTGCAAGCTTGATGCCAGGACCTCAGTACAAGGACAAAACAGTATTAAGACTATTTTAACTTCCCAGGATACTCCATTACACATCTCAAAGTAGCTGGTTTTGCCAGTAGAATTAACGGAGCAGCTGCTGAATTCACTTGCCTCAAAAGGTTTCAGGTCATCTCAGTAAACTTCAACACGTCCAATGGATTTTTGTTTTTTTAAAAAAAACAGTTTTCTGTAATTTGTCTATGGAGATTCTCAGCCATTCAGGTCATAGTTGTCCCAAAGGTGCTTTATCAAGAGGCAATTGGACTTTTCTTGTCTTCAAAGAACAACAAGGAAGTCCAGTTGCCTCTTGAAAAAGCACCTTTGGGTTTTCTGTCTCACGTATAATCTGTATCTCCTTAAACGCCCAATCCCCCCGCCCCGCTCCCATTGCACTCTAATTTTAATCCTGCATCAATTAAAACCCACTTTGAAAAGTGAGCTGTAGTTCACAAACGCCTTTGAATAAGACAGGTTAGTCTGAAAAGAGGTCTCCTGATTTTTGGTTACTACAAGCTTTTCAAAATGTATTGTACAGACCCACTCATTATGTCTAATAATCCATGCTTTATGGTTTGGAGCAATGAGTGATCTCAGTCTTTGCGATGTTATATAAGGACAGTGCAAACCAGTGCAATGATTTTCTGCATTCTTCTGATGTAGCTTTTATTTCCATTTTTTTTTAGGGTCAGCTCTCCTTAGAATAAAGGCCTATAATCACCCTAGCAGCTTCTTTACAGGTAGTCCCCGACTTACAACAATTCACTTAGTGACCATTTGAAGTTAAAACAGCACTGAAAAAAGTGACATTTTCATACTTAGGACCATTGCAACATCCTCAAGATCATGCGATTTTCATTCAGATGCTCGACAACTGACTCCCATCTATGACGATTGCAGTGTCTGGGGTTCATGTGATCCCCTTTTGCGACCTTCTGATAAGCAAAGTTAATGGAGAAACCAGATTCGCTTAACAACCATGTTACTAATTTAACAACTGCAGTGATTCACTTAACAAATGTGGTAAGAAAAGTTGTAAAATGGGGCAAAACTCACTTAACAACTATCTCACTTAGAAACATAAATTTTGGAGTCAAATGTGATTGTAAGTAGTACCTGTGTACTTCTTAACTTTTAAAATAAATTATTCTTTCTTTTTCTCTTTTCACTATTTGGTTTGTGTGTGTGTGTGTGTGTACATATATATATATATATATATATATATATATATATATATATATATATATATATATATAT